CGGCCTCCGTAGAGAGGGTCCCCTCCATGTAAACATAAAGTATTTAAATATAAAGTATTTAAATATAAAGTATTTTAATATAAAGGGTCTTTTCAGGGGTAAAGAAAACTACAATTCATATAATTTAGATGAAGCAAACTAGTGAAAACATCATATGTCTCCTTTAAACAAACTCTTCTGAGATCCGTAACTTTACCAACAATCCACTGAGGGAATAACAAGAAATCTACATGTCACCATCAAGGCTCGATCTGTGAACACAGCTTTTCACGTCAGGATCAGAATCCGATTGGAAACGTACGAGGAATGTCTGTGTGAATGTGCTTCTGTGTTTGGTGCATGAAAACATGAAAACCCAACTATTCACTGAGGTGACGTAGAATGAATGAGCGCGTTATCAAGTCTCCTCCAACCGAACAGAGACACGAGGCAGAGCAGCGGCTCGTTGAAGTGAACAGTTGAAACCAGTGAACCAACGACAGCATCACAGGAGCAACGTGACGCAGCTGAGAGTCCGACACGGCTCTGATCCCAGTGAGGCTCACACACACCCACAGATTCCATATGTGCCTTTCAGTACATGAACTTGATAAACCTGAGATCCAAACACAACATGTTCACTTATTCACAGATAAACACAAAATCTCTAGTTCCTATACCGGCTTTTATTTCATCTGTGATGTCGAGGGATTCAAAAGTGTTGAAGTGTTATGGAGCCGTTATTCTTTCTACAGCTCGATTCATCCTTCAGCTTTAGCAGAGAATCGATCGGCAACAATTCGGAGAGTTGATTAAAATATTTAAGAGATGGTTCTATGGTTTCAACATGATCTTTGTGTGTCACAGGAAACACAAACTTGAGATCGCAGTAGAATGAACAAATCACATGATAGAGTTATTGAAGGAGGGACTACATATCCCATCAGGCACGGTAACGCCTCGGGATCTGTCAGGAAGAGCTGGAAATCGAGCGGAAGACAATGGACGGAGGGATTAATGAAAACATCACATGAACACGAGACAAAACTAAATAACTTTCATTCATCAGAATCAACAGTAACATCCTGAATAACTGTTCACAGAATTCAAAATAATCACTGGTTGATGAAATTCTGCTTATTTTATTTATTTTAATTTAATTTTCTTCCACTGACACAAGAAAACAAGACACGAGTGTGTTTTTCAGGACTGTCCCAGTTTGCTCGAGCCTTGTTCTACTTTTCCAGAATGACAGATTGTTGAGAAAGTCTTCAGTAAACAAAGTCCGTCTTTCTCCTCTGCTGAGACCAAGGACTCGACGAAATGTGGGTCAAACACGAAACATGAATCCATCACCGAAGGCTCCGACGCGGTGCGATCTATCTATACCGACTGTATGTAGGTTGGTTTAATACTTTTTATAGCAGTAAAAACCTTCAGTGCTTCTAACACACGTTGCCTCCTCAGATACTTCCTGAAATGAAAACCCTGCGGTTGATATACAACAGTCATGATCAGCAGGAATTATCTGGATCCAACCAGGTGTGATATGAACACTAAAGCTGTACAGGTGGGTCTGTCTAATCTCTGGAGCATCAGGACAGAAAGCACATTACAACCTCACTTGGTCTTGACACTAAGGAAACTTAGACGGTTCACACACACACACACACACACACCTGATTTATCAGGACTTTAAGTAGTAAAGAATCTGGAAATAACTCTGGAAGTGTTGTTTTATGCGATATTAAAAGTTGCTCCTACAAGTGCCAGATAATCAGTTATTAGAACTGTCCACTCAGCAGCTCAGCAACTGCAATGCACCAACTCTGAGAACCACATGGACATGAATCACAAATCCACGATCAGCCCTTTTTTCAATATTTTATCAAAAACAATTAATAAAGAAATCCAACGTGCCACCGGGGCTCTGACGTGAAACACTGACGTGGCTCCGAACAGACGTTCGAACCCTCGGAGGCTCTGCCGCCGAGCCGTCGTTCATCTTCGTCTCACTGAAGAAGCAGAGAGAGGTTAGCGGTCTGTCATGTTTCACTCGCCTGCTCGCCTCCATTACATCTGACAGGATCAGCGAGAGCCTCGTATCCACGCCAAGAATTAAATTAGAACTCCACAGGACTGAGTACAACTGGGGGT